ATCTTCATATTCTCTTCCGCTTCTAAGTTGAATGGCTTTTACTTGCTCTTTATTATAGTATTATTGATTTACTTCTGTATTACTAGGAAGTGTTCCTTGGGATCTATTACTACTCAAGATTGTTAAGGAATATAGTAAAAACCTACAATCCTTCTTGAATATTGAGCGGTCTGCCTCTCAACCATTCAAAGTGTTCAATGTTTTATTTTTGTATTTGTTTACACTTCGCCACTTGATCATCACACTTGAACTGAGTTAAAAAAGTTGTTCTTGTCCTTCAGATAGATGTTCTATGAAAAATTTTGGAGGTGGGTACTTGAATTGACCATCTCTGACCATCTCAGATAATACAACACATACATAATCTTCTACAGCTTCACTAGCCTTGATTAAGAATTTCTCATGCTTGTTACTTAATAGATCCCAAGGACCACCAAAGTCCAAAATTTTACTTCTCTAGCACTCTTAGCTTTGATTGAAGTACTTCTAAGGATTTTTTCTCAAGAGCAATCTTCATCTCCAAGTTAGCTAAAATGTTTCTAAGGTCTTTTCTTTTCATTATGTAGCCTGTTGAAATACTCCAATATTGTAGGTTTGTTGCCTTGAGGATGTCAAGCTCTCCATAAGTTGGATGTGATGGTGTTCTCATGCAATTTCTCATGCCACCACCCATAAATGGGGCTATTTGGAATGCTAAAGGTGAAGAAACCTTCTTCATAGTTCATTAGTAAGATCAACTAATGCCCAACTCTAGTTCTGTTCATCCTCATAATTCAATCCTCCATAGTTTGAGCGACCCACTGGAACTCGACCAAAGGACTTTTGTGAAATCTTCTGAGTCCTCTTGATTTTGTTTGAACCACGTTGTAGATGGAGCAGTCGTGTTGTTTATGTTTTTTTAGAATATTTTTTTATTTGTCTTCCGGTACAAGAGGTGCTTCATGAGTTACCACTGTACCTTCCAGAGGCCCATCAATCATCATTATTCCAAAACGAGCAACACGCACCATCATCCAACAAGAAACCATCTGAGGAACATATTCCTAATCCTTCTCCTCCTTGCATTTATGCCTCATTAATGATGACAGCTTGATCACATCGACTGACACATATAAGCTTTAGATTGTATCAATGAGGTCAGACAATTTATCACCTTGAACATAGGTTGCATGTTCCTACAAACTATTAACTAAAAGACTATAATTCTTCAAACCTTGACAGAAAGTGATTTTACCTTCCAACATTCTCTTAAGGAAATAAAAAAAAATTAACAAATATTGTTAATTTCTACATTCCTCAAAACATCGTTGCTCTCTCTTTCCTCTCTGATTAGCTCCAATGCTTCAGACATCTCCCTCTTTGAGTGATGCATCCCATTATGAATGTTCTAGAAACTTCAATCACGAGCAATATAGAAGAGCTTATTACAATCAATTGCCACTTTTTTGACCAATCTATTTGTCTTCAAAGTTGATGAGAAAATAACCAATCCATCATTCTGCATCATCATCTGAAAGACATGGTGAAACAGATTTCTCGACCATTAAGACCCAAAACATGAACATACATAATAAATGTCATCATACTAGTTATAGAGTTAGAGCTTATATAAGCAAGGTCAAGCCTAAAGAAGTTCAAGATGTCAACCATTTTTACGTATAACAAAAACTAAAAACTAGAACAAAATTTTTCATAGAAAACATAAATTTCATGTTCATATGCCGCATTAGGGCTTTTGTCTCTCCTTGCCACTCTCATAGTCACATAATTATTAAGATCATATTGATTGAGCCTGTGATTCTTGATCCTCTCTACTCAAGAACTCCTTTGAAGCTTTGTCAGAGAGAGGGACCCTCCTCTGTAAAGTAGGTGCCCATCGAATTATCTTAAAGAAAGGATATTTATCGAGATTTTTCAAAGAAAGAAGATTAGCGCAAGATGAAAAATGGTTATCTTCTTCTTAATAAAGGCAACAAGGAGTCTAACAGGTTGGATTCTAAAAAGAATCATCAATGGAATATAAAACAAGAAAAATAATGATAAAAAAGTAACATCTTAGAAAAAGGCATAAAATCACTACACCTAAAAGAGAAATGGTTGAACACATAATTTGGCATAAAAAAGAAATAAATCTTTCATATTTCCATCTTAGATATCAATTCTTCCTAAACGAAGTATAGTGGATACATAATTAGGCGTCAGAATACAATCCAATCACTATCCACACAATTATCAAAATTTTCTAATTCTAAATGATGCATGATACACATCACTTTAGGCTTCGTAGCTTTCTTCTTTTGGTGTTATTCAACGATCTCCTTATTTTGTCATCGACATAGAGTGGATTTGTTCTCTAACTCATGGTTAATCAAATCAATCTCTATTTCAAAATCTATTCTCTACTCCTTACACTTTAAATCAATAAATAGCTTCTTACTCTTCAGCTCAGCAATACGACCTTGAGCCTTTGCATATTCCAGCTTAGTGAGATGATCATTTGACATTCTTTGATCCCTCAAAAATGAAAGAAGATTGATCATGTGAATAGAGCCTGGTAAGATTGCCTCAGTTGGGTTAGAAACCTCCTCCAATGCTGGACACATCTGTTTAACATCGTAAACATCATCAACAATAGAATCATCCATTCTATATGGAGCCCAAATCATCGTCTTAGTCATCTTGAGCTCTCTCACATCTCATTACATTGATACCTCTGAAAGAAAAAAATTATCTTGAATGGACAATGTCATACTTAATTACTTTCAAAGGACAAACAGTCGTTACTCTGGTCAGAAATTGTATTGCCATATGTCATAATCCTTAAGGAAAATACTGTCCATCAACACCAAATCATCAAAAATTTGTTGCATAAGGAAATTTACCATTGATTTTTCTTATATAATCATCATATAAGCAATAAAAAAGATTTATAAAATCTAAATGGAAAAAGAATGATAGTTATGTGTCCATAGTTTTCTCACCAGAAGTGTTTTGATTAACCGCGACCACAACAAAATGTTGCATCAGCCCTTCTAGAACATTACATAGATGAACCTCCACTAGATCATTATAATTAAGGTGCACTTTCGCTAGTAATATAACTTTTGGTTTAGTAGAGGCCACCTCTTCTATCAAACTTTTCTTGTGAAACTATGCCTAAGAAATGTCACAAGGAACTATTTCCATCTTCAAAGAGATTCTCTTCTCCTTTGATGTTTTGGCTTTCTTTTGATGCTCCATTTCCAATTTCAACTAACAATCATCTTGTCTTTAAGAGCCTCCTATACAAAAGAGAGTGAGATCCTCATCTCTTCCAAAACAAAATCATTTTCCCTCAAAAGCAAAGGCCATCCGATGAAATATACAAGGACACACAGTCATTCCTACACAATCTTATTAAGAACATAAAAGGGAGTACACTCATTTAAATTTAAAAAAAAATTCACAGTTAATACCCTTTATATACTCTAACTTAACTTTGTACTTTTTTCTTCAAGAAGTTCAAACATTAATGCATGAAGCAATACACTCCAATACAAAATGTGTCTGAAGTCATTTTCTCAAAATATAGTCATCCAAGAAAATAGAAACATAACACCCATAAGAGCTCAAAATGCATGGTAAGAGAATCAGAATGAACTCTTTTCGCGGAAGAGCCAAAGCACCTAAGAAAAGAGTAAGTTCCAATCTTAAACATAAATACATAAACCACTCCCTGCATGAGAAGCAAAGACTTCCCCAAGAAGAATCTGAGTCCCAAATTTTATTGCTCATAGAGAAATTCAATCCTCATAGGACAACCTGCTGATCCCTGAAGGATAAAATGATCCATTACCAAGATAGGTCTTGTCCTCACCTCAATAGGATTAAAGAGATAATAATATTATCATTCTCTTATTTTTTTCAAGTCAATTTGATCAACGATTTGAAAGAATCAAAGAACTAAATGTATACACAAATATGAGTATATAAATTTTTCGCTTACTAAATCGAGCCCACCTACTGCAGTGACTAAATCAAGCCCAGCTCCGAAGTGACTGAATCATGACTGCCTGCAAAAGTAGTTAGATTGATCTCACATACTGAAGTAGTTGAACCTAACCCACTTACCGAAGTGTTTGAGTCGAGCTCATCTAACTAACTAGCTGAAACCAACCCAAATGATAATCTGATTATATTCATTCCCTTCAAAGTGGTAGCCTATCCCACGTGTGTAAGAGCAGCTATCGAAAAAAAATTATCATGATTAGTAAGCACATCTGTCAATCCATTATTAAAGACATCACTCAACGTTTGAAATACAGTCTTTTCATCCAAACACCAGGGATGGACATAGCATCGGAAACACTTGATACATACATCATAGTCTTTTTATCAAGACATCAGAGAAAGGAGTTGTACTGTGCAAGATGTTCTATGATAACTATTTTATTATCCTTCTCCCTTGGCTTTAAAAGGGAGGGGAAAAGAAGACGTGTGAGATTAGCTCCCCCCCCGAACCCCAACCCCAAAAAATATTGTAATTCATGGAACCAATGAGGACCAGTGCTCCTCTAGTTTACTGAAGATAAAAATTTAATTTGATTCCTATGGTTCCATCTCAAGACTCTCATCCATCTCTCTCTCTCTCTCTCTCTCTCTCTCTACGATATAATATCTTTTACCAGTTTGTATATGCTCATGATTAATATGGGACCCTACGTCTCAACAACATTCAACACTCATCAATCAAACTTGAACAGGCAAAGTTGCCAAGTACAAAGGGAGAGGAAAATTGATCTATGGGCAAGTGAAAACATTTTGTTAAGTAGCTAGGGAGAATGGAGTGCATGAGAGCCAGGATGGTAGAGGGAAAAATAAAGAGAGATGAAGCATTTAAGGTGGGTCTACATCTCATCTTAAATAGGAGGCCTGCCCTTCCTTTAATGGCTGGCATTCGGATGAAGGCCATTTAATAACCTTATTTAGTGCCCACGCCTCCTCTTGCATGGATTTATCATTAAAGGGAGGTTGAGCTAGCACTCTGGACCTTTAATCATCTCTTCTTCCTATAATTCATTTCCCCTAAATTCTCTTCTTCCTCAACCCTCTCTCTTCCTCTCTTGCTTACTCATCCTTTCTCTATATATTGCTGAGAAGACGAGAGAAATATATTAAAATGGTCGAGGAGCTTCTTCTACGAGCGAGGAGAGAGTTACCTCTACTGAAAGAGAAGAAGACCACAGCTGACACCACTCATAAGAGCTCGCCTCCTCCAAAAATCATGGATCATCCCGAGCTCTCGTTAGGCCCTTCCATGTTCTCCTTCACCGAAAGCTCCTCTTTTGAATCTGAAGCAAACAATGTTAGAAAGAGGAAGCTATCAAGCTGGGAACACACCAGCAATCAAACAAACATAGATCTCCAGCTCAATAATTCTCTTCCCTTGGATTGGGAGCAGTGCCTGGATCTTCAAGTAAGACTTCCTTCTGCCTCTTTCTGCTCTCATGGTTGCTTTGTATAAATAAGCTTAATTCCTTTTTGGTTTCTCTCTGCAGACTGGTAGGATGTACTGCATAAATAGAAAAACTCAAAGGAAAAGCTGGGTGAAGCCAAAGGAGCAGAAGCTTGACTTAGATCTCAACATATCAAATCTTCCAACCTCAGAAGACAAGAAGCCTGGTTCTCTTACAATAAATGACACAAAACCGCCAAGTGGATCTGACAATGGAGGCGGCATGGTTGCCATTGTTTGCCTCAATTGCTACCTGCTTGTCATGCTCTACCGGTCATCTCCCTCATGCCCCAACTGCAAGTTCATGCACTCCCTGCTGCCATCACCAGTACCGCAAAATTTAAAGCCTGTCAAGTCTCTTGAAACGCTAAGCCTTCTCCATTAGCATACCAATTAATTAGAATACATCATATTAATCAATATCTAGGAATCATTATAGGTAGATGCTGTTAGAACTTTGTAATCATTTGTCTAAGATGCATCATCCATGAATGCTGAAAGCTCCTCTTGTGCAAATTAAAATTGTTTATTTTTCGCTTTATCAGTGAAGTTAATGTTAGAAAGGGAGATGGATCGATGAGGTGCTGTCATTTCTTAGCAGAAAGGTTGTGAGGACAGGTGAGGTTTAGGTTTGTACATCTCTCCCCATTCAAGAGGAATACAGTATAGATGCTGGGAACTACTCCCTATGCTGATGCTATTCTGCACTGCTGCACTTTCATTTCCAACGAGGAGAGAATGTATGTAGTACTAAAATTTTACCCGTTGAAAATTTAACACCAAATCAGAACATTAGAAATAAGTAAATCACAAAATATATTGAATTAACAAAGGTGATTTTTTTTTTTTGTTAGCAATATTAAATGAATAATGTAATACTGAGACTGTTTATACCTCCAAAATTTGTTTTGATCACATGGCTAGTTCAGTAGAAGAAGAAAAGTTGGGCGTGATTCATGAGAGAGTTATCTTTCTCCTTGTCCTTGTACTTCTTTTCTAGACTATTTACTTGATTTCATTAGAAGTCACCCTCTACATGAAAAAATTAGTTATATAATTAAATATATCCATTAGAATCCGTGGAGAATGAAGAGCTATTGTCGCTATAAAAATTTGCCTATGATGTAATCTTTTATTATATATCTTTCGTAGATCTTTCTTATATTTTTTTCTTTTTCTTTTCTTTTTTTTTTCTTTTTGTTTTATTTCATCAACCAAGTTAGGGCTTGTATTCCCAAATTTCATACAATCAAAGCATTTTATTTTGTCATATGTAGAAGCATTGTTAGCTCTAAACTTATGAATTCTATTTCTTTCATACCTCTTTTATATAACATGGCTACCTCTTTTGAGTCTCCATCACTTTCAAATGTAGACGAAACAAAGCCTTCAACTTATAGAGCTATAGCTTTTCCTTCTTTTTGTTTCCTTTTCAGATTTTTTTTATTTTTTTCATGCTGTTATTACAAGTTCACAAGCCAAAAGAGAAAAAATAAGTAACAATATCCTTAAATTCCATAATTACATTCACATTTTGATCCCAGTTCTTTGGTAAGCCATGACAAATCTTCTTGACCAAATTTACATTCTTATATACTCTTCCTAATGAGTGCAATGAGTTTACACCCTTTATAAATCTTATATGGATGTCAGTAATAGATTCATTAGATTTCATGCAAAATAATTCAAAATTCTTGAACTTGTTTATTTATATTTGCATTTCTAACTGTTTAATGTTCCTTCATAAGTTAATATAAACTTATCCTAACATTCTTAGCAAATTTAAGCATTGAAACTCCTGTATAATGATCAAGTTCTAAAACATATTACAAATCACTCATGGCCTTAGAGTTTAATTTATATAGTTTTATCTTACTTGAAGTCCAGTGTAAAAATGATTTCTCAACTTTTAGGTCATCTAATATCTTAGAGGGGTGCTAAATATTTTAAGGTCAATTGTGAGGGTCGTATACTCCTAAAGAATGACTAATTAAATTATTTCAATAATCAAATAAAAAATTATATCAAAATAAGAGTTTTGTGATACATGACCTTCAATATTGCTAAAAATATATTATGTGCCATAGTGAGTAGATCAGCTCTTGATGTTTAAGCCAAAATGATAGAGCTAAAGCTCTGATTCTAGTTGAAATGCATTGTACGATGAAGAGGGTGAGCTAGTGTATTGTCAAAAGAAATATGGCATCATATTTTTAATTTGGACGAATTAAATAAATTTAAAATAGTCATAAAAGCAAGTAAGAAATTAGCAAGAGATAATACAAAAGACATTTATGAGGTCTCTTTTGGGAGGTGACAAGTGGTATCAGAGCAGATTACTGTCTGTCAAGTGTGTGGACTCTCTATGGTCCAGTGGGACACTCGGTGCAGCCGATCCGTGACGAGGGTATCACGTGATTGGGTGGAGGAGAATGTCACAGACAAATAGTCCCACATTGGCTAGGTGTAGGGCCGAAAAGCAGTATTTAAGTCCTGGGCTGCCTACCATTCATAAGGACTCTTTTGGGAGGTGACAAGATATTCCACTATCATAAAATTTCATCCTTCCTAGGGCATAGAAAAACTTTTATAAACTATGCTTTTTTTAATAGGCTAAATCAACTCAATAGTATGTTTACAATAAAATTATAGTATTTTTACAAAATTTTCTAGGCTTTATAAGTAAAAAAATGGTGGCTTTCTAAGATCTAACTAATCAGTCTTAACAAAAATTATAGTAATTAAAAACATGCTTAAGAAACTTAAGAGTGGTCTTACTTAGTGGTCACTCAAAAATTATTTAACTTACAGCACATTTTTAATCTGTTAAATATCATTTAACCAAAACTTTAAACAAAAAGTAATTAATGAAATAAAAAAATTGCCAAATTTCAAAGTCTGTAATTTTATCTAATATTTTGAATAGCATCAAAATTACTAAAATATAAATCATCTTGATTATGATTTATGATTTTGTTAAGATGCGCATCTAGCTGAGCAATAATGTACAAAATTAGACTCTCTAATCACTCACCACTGCAAGTGAACCATGCTTTTCAAGTTGAAATTCTACAGTATTTTAATATACTAAGTAAAACTGCAAATTATCTCATAAGGATATAATTAATTTCACAAATGATTTCATATAATCATGACATTATGAGAATGTACATGTGATCGATCAATATGCTCATGAAATCCTAGCGGAGATGCCTGAAGCATAATGCAAAATGAGATTCTTTTTTCTTTCATTTTTAAGAAAATAATTGCGGGTTAATGCCCTTTTTATTTAAGTATATAAGAGGCCAAAAAAGGGGGATAGTAGATTTATATAAATGCCACTCGATTTTTTTGTATTTACATATATAACATCTAATCTTTCATCTTTACATACTGTCAATTTACCTATGCAGAAAAGGATTCATGTAGCCGACCCCACTTAGTGGGAGTAAAGTCTTGAGTTACAGGGAATCCCCAACGAAAAAGGGACATTATC